AGAACGCAAAAAAGGACGAAGATTTGAAGAAAAGAGAAAAAGAAGAAAAAAATTTATAACAATTTGGTGGAGGATCGGCGTTTTCACAAACTCAATCAGTCCGCCAAATATTCTGAAGAATTTAGAACAATCGTCATTTCGAACATTGGTTAGAAACGAGTGCTTAAACAGCGAGATGACTTGGCCGAACGAAACGCTATTCTTCTATTCATCAATACTTCTACTGACGGCAATGCTAGAGCTTGTCTCATATTTTAGTTGCTGGCCTAAAACAAATGGTCACAACCCAGTGTACAGCTCCTTTGAACAAGGATTGGAAACATGGTCCACCTCTCATCAGTCGAAAGCAGACGAATACGACCGTGCCTACCCGCTCCTTAATGTTATGAATCAGGCTGATATCCAGCGAAAGACGCACCAGTGGAAGCCTCCGTGGTTATGCAACGGCTACTGAGACGCGGCAGAAAAATCTCAGAGTTCCCCGGATCCTTCCTGATGGTTAGAACGCTTGTACATGGACATGAAATTGGACGAATTTTAAGATTTGTATAATATATATCAGCTTTTGTTATTGTCATGTTACACGTATATGTTTATCATTTGTTTGTTTATGTGCGATAATATTAAACACGAGAGTATATAGCTGTTCAACTAAAATTCCTTAGGTACACTCAGCATGCTGATTAAACATGTTGCCGTAGGATAGCGCATGCATGTTTTTAATTGGGTCAGTATATAATTTAATTCTGACGCTTTTAGTTATGCGTCATTCGTTGATAATATATTTTCCTCTTCCCCCGGGACAGTCAAGGGTCTCCCAAACTTGTTGTAATGGATTACAATTCTTTTTCAAGCCAAAAGCTTAAATATTAGGCACATTCTTGTTTTCTCTATGTAGACTCGGTATTTATATTGTCGATGAAAACCTACATTTTGGAGTTTGGTTTGCCGTGCATGACGTTTAAAAAAGTAAAATGAGTTTCAGTTATATTAAGAAGTATACGTATAAAATTTGTTTGCATAAGTTGAAATATTTTGAAGAATTATTAAGACGTATATATAGGTTTAGGTTATTATTATGGAGAGATGTTTTGTCGGAAGAGCTTTATAATAATTTCCTGTTATGTGAGTTGATCAACCAAGAATCTGAATACAATTTTCGCTGTTGCAATGATAAGATATTTTATGAAATTTGAATAATTTTGGGTACACTTTCTGATTGCATCTACAAAATGTATAATTTCGTTTAAGTCCCTGGTACATACACTCAGGAAAACAAGAATTTTTTACGCCTTGTTTTCACATTAATTTTAGTTTAAATCGCTATATTCTGACGTGTGGGATATATATAACATTATTATAGCTAGATTACCCCTGAGGTACATATAGGCATAAGTCGATTATATTCAGATAAGTTGTATCTTGTTTGAACAACACGTACTATGTGTATAGTCTCAGTTATTAAGGCATTAGGTAATATGCCCGTGATAGCCACGCCGTGCTCAGAAATATATAGTTGGGAAATTGTAGACACATATATGTATGGTATTTAGTTAACTTAAGTTCGTTATAGCTCACACGAAGCTGGGGACAGCTTATTCTAGGTGAGGAGGATTGTTACGCAAGGCTTCATTGTGTTTAGAGATACGCATATAAAAATAGCCATAAAAATAGAAGTAGCAAGAGCATGACAGGGATTAGTGATTAATTTTTGCCACAAGACGCCTGAGTAAATATAATTTCGGCCCATTCGCAACCATTAATCACATTTCCTTTCATGCATGACATTTCGTGGGATTGAATTAAGTAGTAAGGTGAGGGTGTCGATCATCCTGTCAGAACGTGCGCATCTGGATCAACAGTCGTATGTCGTTGCCAAGTTTAACTGTCATAATTGAAAATATGCATGCTTGAGGCAGCTGCGAAGCTCTTATGTCAATCAAATGTGTTTTTTATAATGCGCGTCGGTCGAGCATTTTAAGAGTTACGTCACAAGAAACTTAAGTCGATTAAAAGTTGTAGTAAATGTAGTTAAGTCGTAAATAGGGTTCACAGAAGTAATGTTTGAATTTTATTAAGTATTGGGGATAAACATTTTAAGTTGTGAACAAGTTTTAGTATTGATCGATTGAGCGAAAGACCAACTCGACCACTGCGTCAACGCCTTAAATAAACAAAATATGAGAGCTGGAGCGAGCTTCTAAGACCAACCCACTGATTACATGTACAACGCTGATTGGCTGGATAAGGATCAGCCCACTATGGTTGATGACGTATGCAAGAGTCACTGAACCCTCATTATAAAGGGCGTGCACAGCACCTGAACCTTCAGTGGACTAGCGGAGTAGACTAGCGGAGTAGACTAGCGGAGTGGACTGACGGAGTAAAGATAAACATATAAAACGTTAGAAAACTCAACCTTTACAGAACCAACGACCGAACACAAGAACGCAAAAAAGGACGAAGATTTGAAGAAAAGAGAAAAAGAAGAAAAAATTTATAACAATTTGGTGGAGGATCGGCGTTTTCACAAACTCAATCAGTCCGCCAAATATTCTGAAGAATTTAGAACAATCGTCATTTCGAACATTGGTTAGAAACGAGTGCTTAAACAGCGAGATGACTTGGCCGAACGAAACGCTATTCTTCTATTCATCAATACTTCTACTGACGGCAATGCTAGAGCTTGTCTCATATTTTAGTTGCTGGCCTAAAACAAATGGTCACAACCAGTGTACAGCTCCTTTGAACAAGGATTGGAAACATGGTCCACCTCTCATCAGTCGAAAGCAGACGAATACGACCGTGCCTACCCGCTCCTTAATGTTATGAATCAGGCTGATATCCAGCGAAAGACGCACCAGTGGAAGCCTCCGTGGTTATGCAACGGCTACTGAGACGCGGCAGAAAAATCTCAGAGTTCCCCGGATCCTTCCTGATGGTTAGAACGCTTGTACATGGACATGAAATTGGACGAATTTTAAGATTTGTATAATATATATATCAGCTTTTGTTATTGTCATGTTACACGTATATGTTTATCATTTGTTTGTTTATGTGCGATAATATTAAACACGAGAGTATATAGCTGTTCAACTAAAATTCCTTAGGTACACTCAGCATGCTGATTAAACATGTTGCCGTAGGATAGCGCATGCATGTTTTTAATTGGGTCAGTATATAAATTTAATTCTGACGCTTTTAGTTATGCGTCATTCGTTGATAATATATTTTCCTCTTCCCCCGGGACAGTCAAGGGTCTCCCAAACTTGTTGTAATGGATTACAATTCTTTTTCAAGCCAAAAGCTTAAATATTAGGCACATTCTTGTTTTCTCTATGTAGACTCGGTATTTATATTGTCGATGAAAACCTACATTTTGGAGTTTGGTTTGCCGTGCATGACGTTTAAAAAAGTAAAATGAGTTTCAGTTATATTAAGAAGTATACGTATAAAATTTGTTTGCATAAGTTGAAATATTTTGAAGAATTATTAAGACGTATATATAGGTTTAGGTTATTAATGGAGAGATGTTTTGTCGGAAGAGCTTTATAATAATTTCCTGTTATGTGAGTTGATCAACCAAGAATCTGAATACAATTTTCGCTGTTGCAATGATAAGATATTTTATGAAATTTGAATAATTTTGGGTACACTTTCTGATTGCATCTACAAAATGTATAATTTCGTTTAAGTCCCTGGTACATACACTCAGGAAAACAAGAATTTTTTACGCCTTGTTTTCACATTAATTTTAGTTTAAATCGCTATATTCTGACGTGTGGGATATATATAACATTATTATAGCTAGATTACCCCTGAGGTACATATAGGCATAAGTCGATTATATTCAGATAAGTTGTATCTTGTTTGAACAACACGTACTATGTGTATAGTCTCAGTTATTAGGCATTAGGTAATATGCCCGTGATAGCCACGCCGTGCTCAGAAATATATAGTTGGGAAATTGTAGACACATATATGTATGGTATTTAGTTAACTTAAGTTCGTTATAGCTCACACGAAGCTGGGGACAGCTTATTCTAGGTGAGGAGGATTGTTACGCAAGGCTTCATTGTGTTTAGAGATACGCATATAAAAATAGCCATAAAAATAGAAGTAGCAAGAGCATGACAGGGATTAGTGATTAATTTTTGCCACAAGACGCCTGAGTAAATATAATTTCGGCCCATTCGCAACCATTAATCACATTTCCTTTCATGCATGACATTTCGTGGGATTGAATTAAGTAGTAAGGTGAGGGTGTCGATCATCCTGTCAGAACGTGCGCATCTGGATCAACAGTCGTATGTCGTTGCCAAGTTTAACTGTCATAATTGAAAATATGCATGCTTGAGGCAGCTGCGAAGCTCTTATGTCAATCAAATGTTTTTTTATAATGCGCGGTCGAGCATTTTAAGAGTTACGTCACAAGAAACTTAAGTCGATTAAAAGTTGTAGTAAATGTAGTTAAGTCGTAAAATAGGGTTCACAGAAGTAATGTTTGAATTTTTATTAAGTATTGGGGATAAACATTTTAAGTTGTGAACAAGTTTTAGTATTGATCGATTGAGCGAAAGACCAACTCGACCACTGCGTCAACGCCTTAAATAAACAAAATATGAGAGCTGGAGCGAGCTTCTAAGACCAACCCACTGATTACATGTACAACGCTGATTGGCTGGATAAGGATCAGCCCACTATGGTTGATGACGTATGCAAGAGTCACTGAACCCTCATTATAAAAGGGCGTGCACAGCACCTGAACCTTCAGTGGACTAGCGGAGTAGACTAGCGGAGTAGACTAGCGGAGTGGACTGACGGAGTAAAGATTAACTTATGAAACGTTAGGAAGCTCAACGACAGAACTGACGAAGAAGACAAAAACATTTAACGACGATCAAGATCGAAGATAGAAAAAGAAGAGAACAGTAACGAACTTTAGTAAACCTTTGTAAAGATCCACTACCTCGCGTAGAAATAACAAACTTTATAACAACATGACCGTCCGCCATGATGATTATAGCCACGCTATTGATAAAAATGAAGGACTAGCTGAGATCGATAAATTTCATTATTTACATTCCCTTTTGGAAGGCTCAGCAGCTATGTCGATTCAAGGACTTGCCTTGACTTCTGCAAATTATAAAAAGTCAATCGAAGTTTTGAAACAAATATTTGGCAGGCCGCAACAAATAATAGCGTCTCATAAGGATGAGCTTTTAAAGGTTCCTGTTTGTTCTGATGACAAGTCTACATCTATGCGCCTGGTCTACGATCGAATCAACACTAACATTAGAGGGTTAGAATCGCTTGGGATAAACTCTGAACAATATGGGAGTCTTTTGATCCCAGTAATTATGTCAAAATTACCAAGCGAAACACGTTTACATATTGCCAGAAACGCCCTGGACGATGTATGGAAAATCGACGACTTAATGAAGACCATAAGTAGTGAAGTGGAAGCACGGGAAGTGAGTGAACATGTCATGATCAAAACAAACAACGACAGAAAACCAATCCTCCTAAATCGAGAACAACAGCATCATTGTATAGTGGAAACAGCGAGGATACAAATCGTCGAATTCAAATCCGTTGCATTTTCTGTCACGAAACCCATTATACCGCTTCTTGTGAGAAGGTAAAGAATGTGAAACAGCGTAAGGATATTTTAAGAAAGGAAGGATGGTGTTTTGTTTGCTTGAGAACTGGTCATCGAGGATCAGAATGTCAACGAACATGTAGAAAGTGCAATGGGAAACACCATCAGTCGATATGTTTCAGACTAACAGATGGGAAAGGTGATAAATCGAAAAATAGAGAATCAAAGGAGGGTTCCAAGAAAAATGATGAAGAGAAGAGGAAGGAACAACTAAAAAATGAACAGAATAATCATGATAATGAACCATCAAGTTCTGTCTAGGCGACGACAACTACTACCGGCCAAAAGAGATCATCAGTGTTACTTCAAACCTCCACTGCCTATGCATACAACAGCGTCAACTCAAAGACGGTTATGATTCGGATATTGTTTGATTCCGGAAGCCAGCGTTCCTATATAACAAACGAACTGAAACAAAAATTGGATCTTAAGTCAGAAAAAAGGGAAACCTTACATCTGAACACCTTTGAAAATGATGGATTTAAAAAGCAAAATTGTGAGATGTTCTCTTTCAATCTGCAAGGAAAAAACAGCGAGATCGATATCGAGATATCAGCATTGGCATTCCCAGTCATTTGTTCACCTGTGACAACCACAATTGATGTTCAAGCATATCCCCATTTGGACGGTTTACAATTAGCAGACAACTCAGACATTGAAAATCAATCAATTGACATGCTTTTGAGGGCTGATTATTATTACAAGATCATCACAGGTGAAATTGTCAATGGTGATAATGGTCCAATTGCAGTGGCAAGTAAGCTAGGATGGTTGCTTCTTGGCCCTACCTTAGATACGTCTTCTTCATACGCTTTGTCAAATCTTGTTATTGATGGACGGAAAGAAACGTTGTTGGAAGAGAATGAAAAAGACGAATTAGTGAAAAGTTTAAAGAGATTCTGGGATCTGGAGTCTTTAGGAATAGTTGAAAGTGAAAAGGTTCCAGAATCAGATATCGTACAAGATATAACATTCAATGGTAAACGATATGAAGTGGGCCTTCCCTGGAACAACGACGAGACAGCCCCGCTTTCTAATGATTACGAGTTATCTCTTAATCGTCTCTTGATTAATCGTCTCAAGAAAGATCCAAACCCGTTTAGAGAATACAATGCTATCATCGAAAAACAAATCAAAGAAGGCATCGTGGAACATGCTCCTGAAAACGAAAAAGAAATAGACAACGCTCACTTCATACCTCACCATGGTGTTATCCGTAATGACCGAGACACGACGAAGCTTCGTAAAGTATTCGATGGCAGTGCTAAGCAAGAGAAAGATGGAAGTTCCTTGAATGATCACTTGTTGAATGGACCGAATTTCATACCACCAATATTTGATGTTCTTGTAAAGTTCCGGTCATACGCTGTTGGACTGACTGCCGATATTGAAAAGGCGTTTCTTCAGATCGAGGTTAGGAAAGCCGATCGAGACAAGCTACGATTTTTATGGATTTAGGACCCCAAATCAAGTAAACCTGAAGTTTAACAGTTGCGTTTCTGTCGTCTTGTATTTGGTCTCAAGCCCAGCCCATCAATTTTGAGAGGAACAGTTTTACATCATTTATCTAAGTATCAAGAAACAGACCCAAATATTATCGAGGTATTAAAGGAGCTATATGTCGACGATCTACCGACAGGTGTGAGCAACGAAGAAGTCTAAAGAAATCATGAGGCAAGTGGATTCAATTTACGAAAGTGGAAATCGAATTCCAAGGAACTTTCGAACAAAATAAATCAATGTGAATTGTCAAGCGAGCCCGTTAACGATGAAAGAAACCAACTGAAGTTAAACCAAGATGAAACGAGAGTGTCTCAAGACATTCAAACCTACGTGAAATCAATGATTGGTCCACAACTTCCAGATGATAACAAAACAGATACTCGGAGTGAATTGGGACGTTGAGACAGACAACCTTTATTACGAATTTGATGAGATCCAACACTATGCTCGAATGCTGCCTCCGACAAAACGAACTGTGTTAAAACTAGTCGCCAAGATTTTCGACCCATTGGGTCTTTTGAGCGCGTTTACAGTCAAACTAAAGATGATGTTCCAGGATATTTGTAAACACAAGGTAAATTGGGATGATGAATTACAGAAAGAGTTGCGTTTACGATACTACACGCTTGTAAGTGAATTGGAACATCTCAGTGGAATAACAATCCCACGGTGTTATTTCAGTCGAAGCTCGAAGCCCGTAGAACATCAATTACATGGATTTTCGGATGCAAGTGGGAAGGCGTTTGCTTCTGCGGTGTACCTTCGAACAAGATACGATGATAATCGTATCGACGTAAATTTAGTTGCCTCAAAATGTAGAGTCTCGCCCACAAAGAAACAAGAGATTTTATTGGGTTGATTCGTCAGCGGTCCTTTGTTGGATCAAGAATAACAAATCATGGAAACAATACGTTCAAAACCGAGTACAAGAAATAAGAAAATTGTCGCCAAAGGAGTCGTGGAAATATTGTCCTGGGTCGATGAATCCAGCAGATTTGCCATCTCGAGGGGTATCAGGAAAAGAACTGAATTCAAATGAATTATGGTGGAATAATAGTCCAGACTTTTTAAACCGTTCAGAAGAGGAATGGCCAAGAGAACCATCGGCTTGTGAGAACACTGATTCTATCGCAATGTCAGAAGTTACTAAATTCAGTCGAACGGTCATCCACAGTTTAACCAATCAAGCAACACAGTCCAAACCAGATATCAGCAAGATTATCGAATGTCAGCGCTTCAGCACGAAGAGGAGACTAATAAGAACGGCGGCGTACGTACTGCGAATTATCAGAGTATTAAAACGACGCGTTAGTGCACAAGAAAATACTTCAGAAGGTCTCAAAAAGGGTAAATCGGCTGAGTTGACTGCGGCCGAGCTGAGACAAGCGGAAGAATTGTGGATTCGAGCAGTTCAGCAATTTTCATTCAAAGACGAACTTGACTTCCTGTTGAGTAGCAAAACGGCAGCGGCTTCGACATACAGTACTGTGCAAAAGTAGGCCCCCTGTCAAATTGTCACTTGTTAGTAAAATTCATGGTATTGCAAGACATGCTTGGTAGAAAGACTTGTAGTGGTCTTGCACTTGGTACAGCTACCATGAGAGACCATTATTGCGGCACAATGCCCACTCATTGACTTAACAAGCTTGTTTGTTACATCTGGATCAACAGCCTCACGTGATGCGAAAATGGTCTCTTTCATTCTTCCAGATGTCGAGATGGTCTTCTATCTGACCTCTTCCTCACTTGAGTTTGCACAAACCGCCATAAACACAAGGGCATCGGTTGCTTCAGGCAGTGAATCATCTTCAAAGCCCGTTCCAAGGTCAACATAGCCACGCATTCTGCGACCATCCCACTCGACATGTTTACGTAAGGACATCTCGTCCAAGTTCAGAGCGCAAACAAATTTTGCCACCATCTCTTTTTTCAGTTAAAACTTTGGCTTTTAAAGCAGTCAACGCATCATTCGTGAAACCAGGTTCACCGTCCATCGAGGTGTACCATGATCCAATCACAGATACATGTGGCAAACTTAGATCAAAGCTTTTTTTGACATAATTATACGCTTTTGTCGAAAAAAATTTCAAGATCAGCGCAAATGACCTTAGCTCAGGTGGATACGCGCCAGGATTCACCCCTTCTTTCTGTGATACTAACCTTTTCATCAGTTTCTTTGGAGCTCCAGAAAAGGTCGTCTCCAAAAGAGTAGCACAATCACTACTAATAAGATTTTCCTCCTTCAGTTCACTTACCACTGAAGCCAAAGAGCTAACCTTTCTGTTTAACCGTCTTGTTTTCTGTAGCGACACCTTATACTTTTTTTCAAATCAGATATTTTGTCTACAAGATCATCGATCTACCTGTTGCTTCATTTTACGAGGAGATTTACTTACATGATAAGTATGATCATGATTCACATGACTTATATCTACTCTTTCTGGAGTACTTACCTTATTTCTAATCATGTCATCATCTGAGAGCTTTCGTTTTATTCCTTGACCACTAATAACCTCTTCATTGACACCCTGTATACTTACATTACCAGTACACCCAGTATTTGTATCTCCTGTGACACTCTCTACACCCAAATTGTCTGTACTTACCGCATGTTGAGATACAGATACATCCACACTCACACACTCTCTGCCAGGACCACATTCGGATTCCAAGTTATTGTCAGGCGCGGATCCAGCCGAAAATCTGACCGTGTCATATTGGACTAGAAATTTTCCGGTCGGGGGGGGGGAGTGGGGGCGTATGGCGAAGGGGCTATGGACCCTCCGAAACAAACATTTTCTGAGCTTTGGTTCTTCAATATTCTTCAGGGAACGTTTAAAAGCGAATATTGTAAATCCCTGTACTTTCATAAAACCTCAAAACCATTTTCAAAATTTTTGGTAAGGTATTTACGGATATTTCATTCACACTCAACATAACGTGAAATTTGCATACACAAATTATTCACAGCGTAAATGCAAATTTGTTTCATAGGGCGCCTTCCATTAAGCGGCCAAAAAGGTCAGACCGGTCATATTTTAAATTGAAATAGAGTATTTCGTTAAGAATATAGCGGTGAAACTGCATTTCCCGTGTTAGGCAGATGTAAATAAAATAACGATATACTTTTGTCTGTACCGACTACCGAAATACAACAGAACCGGTCTGGCCGTTTTTCCGTATAAAGAAGAGCGCCCATAGTTCGATTTAAAACCTAAAAGTCTTACCTTACAAGGACATTGGGTAAAGATTTTCAGTATTTGTCTCTTGGGAAATAGCAGTTTAAAAATTGTCGTTGCGATTGTAAACGCGAGCGAGCGAAGCCTGTCTTTAGTAATAATTCCATCATGTTGTAGCCTGAAGAGCGATATTTCCCCTGAAATATGCTCGCTTAGATTTGCTTTTGAGAAATTTCGACGGATTCATGTATTAATGCATTCGATTCAGCCTGAATCAGCCAGGATGCAGCGAACAGACCAATTTAACGTGTTATGTCAACCCAGTCTCTTCCTAAAATTGACTGTATATACTAATTGTGTTCTGCTGGGCAAATTGACTGTGAGAATCAATTTCAAGGACGCTTTACAATCTACCAGGCCTGGTTACGCTGCCTGTTCGCTAATCGCCTGTTCGCAGGTTAATTAACTAAACACAACATTGCATTTCTTACAGTATGTTGTATTCTTTGAATATCGCCTAATTTTTATGCTATCATGTCTCGTAAATCTGCTGGAAAACGCAAAAAGAATGAAGATGAACATCTAGACTCGATAATTGATGAAATTAACACCATTACAGGTGCAGAGTCTTCTAAAAGTAGAAAGACTCGACCTGACCACTCAAGTAAAAATAAAGATATTGACATCGTGCTGAGAAGAGACGAATCTGGCCAGCGAATATATCACAACCCAAGACGATTGTCGCAATCTAGTTGGGCAAGACGAGGTAAACGTGGAAATGTCAATAAAGTTTTTGTGTTGTGGAGTTTTGTAGGTTATTTAAGCTTTGACTTTTACTGTTTTACACCACTTATTAATAGGCAGCAATATCACTGCAAACAAGGAAGGATTTGTCGAGACAGACTCTGTGAACGAAAGCAATCCAGAGTCAGGTAAACACTTCAATCACAGTTCATGTGTTATGCAGTTATATATTCTAACTGTATATTCTCATATTAGAAGGTAGATCGAACCATACAAATTTTTGATAACCTTTTCCAAGCCTGCATGTTGCATCTGCTTTGCTGGAATCCAGGCTGTAAATACGTCCAAATATTCGCCCAAAAAATGATGTATGAATTTTATTTTACAAGTATAATGGTTTTACTGTTTAGTTTTGGACTACAACTACCATAATTAGTCTTGCACTACAGTCAAATCATTATACTAAAATCAGCCTCAAATCAGTTATAAAATTACAGTGGGTTAGGGTGGTATTGCCTTAAATAAATAATAAATAAACATATATATGGCTAATCTCACTATTACCTTAAGTTATTAAAGCATATTGGAACTAGAGAGTGAGGTTAGAAATATCATTACAAATTAGCCTATGTATAAACATAATGTGGGTATGCGATTGTAGGATGTGGTTTAATGGGTTTTGTGGTCTACCTTAAGATATTAATTTTCCTAGGTAATATAGTTGCGATTTTATTTAAATAGACAAGCATGCAAGTTTTAAATCACTTTAATGTATAGCTTTTATAACTAAATAGTGGAATACACAAGATTGAACGAACCTGTTGATCTCTTAACTGACAAAGTAGATGAACATTCTGAAACTTTTGAGCAAGGTACAGGTAAAATTAATTTTGGATCTACCATCTTAAATAACCTAGAGTGTTCCATGTTTGAAGGTACTGTACAGTAACAGTATGTGACCTACAATAACATTTCAACTGGAATTAATTGTAAATGGTATATGTATTATTTTATAGACCTTGATGCAATCATTGAACAGTGTGAGGAAGCTGTTGGGGAAATGAATGATAATACCACTGTGTGGCAAAAACGAATAAACAATCTTGAGGAAAACTGGGAGAATGCTAGAGGAGCCATATTTCACAGTGTTTTGTGTTCATTTGCCCCTCCCACTTCCTCATTACATTGCTCTAAAATTGATTGCCCCAATGATGCACAATTGAGGTGTAAGCAGTGTGGTGTTTTTCAATATTTATGTGTCAACTGTGATGAAGAAGTACATCAGTGTCAGCCGCTTCATGATCGTGAAGTTTGGATTAATGGGTATTTTCAATACATTCTTCCAACTGAGTCAATAACTGATGATGGAAAGCTTGTTCCTGTTGGTATGTGTCAATAATTATTTTCAATTAATAATTTTTTAAAGGCAATGTACCGTGCAATATGGTTGCAAACTGTTTACAAGCAACTGTCTATAAAATAACTTAAAAGGATATGAGGTATACAGGAATCTGCACTTCCAAATTTGAATGAGAAGTTTGGAATTCAGAGGCTTTTATTTATAATGGAAGGACCCTAAGGGATAAGCTGTAATTTTCTTACTATATTTAAGGTCGTGCATGTCCTCTTCTTTACCCAACATCTTGCTTGGTGTGCGGGGAATCTACTTTGAAAACATTGAACAGCTCAAAAGTTATACTCATCACATCTGAAGGTATTGTATTTTAACGCTATCAAAAATTGAACCTAGTCATAAGTTTATTACAAAATAATGCCGTACATGTTAGTGCCAATTCTTTTTGTTATTTTTTTTATTTCTGTGCTGATGTTTATAGTATACAGTAGAGTGTATATTAAGATAATTAATATAATGTAATTATACATTCACAGTCAATCATTAACAGTATATGCTAAGATTGAGTATAAGTAAACGGTTAAAGTTAATGGATTTTTTTCATATTTAAGGTCGTTTTGACCTCAATTGGTTTAACATACACTGTTATCATGTCCTTGGCAATGGTCACCAATTTCGTTTGACTGTATAGTTCAAAGTGGTTTTTGGCCAGGAAGTCCTGCCAATGTAAACTACTTGTTTCATCAAGAGCTGTTCCTTCTTTGGGATGCCTTCCGGAAGCAAATGCCAGGCTCCTCACAAACTGCTTTTATAAGAAGCTTGGAAGACATGTCTCGTTCCAAAAAAAGGGTGAGTGCTGTATATAATGGCAGTTATGAATGTATTAGAAATAGCCTGATCACACTAAAAGATGATAATCATGTGCATACAAATTCAATGGGGTACATATAAAATATGTTGGATGGTATTTAATTAGCACTCAGTAGGGTCAGAGCATACAAATGTCTTTTTTCTTTGTATTAAAGGCAGATGTGATAACTGCAGCAACATTTCGGAAGGCCTTTGCAGAGTGGTGCTATTGTCAATTTGAACTGGCTTCGCTACAACTTCAGGATTGGAGAAAATGCCCACCATGCAGTGTTGACCAACACTCTTGTCATATTGATGGCAACCACAAGGTTTATAGATATGATAAAGTATCAAGGTACCACACCCTAATAGTTCATGTACTTGTGTGATTTATATTTTCCTAACATGACATTTGTAAGACTACGTACATTATAAAACTAACTGGCTATATGTCACCCAGGAAATTTGAATATTTAGGGGTACAAGTCCTTCTTATTACAATGACCATCTGATTGTCGAAAATGCGAAAGTAGATTCTCACATAAGAAGCTTGAATTCCAAAATCACGAAGAAAGATATGGTAAGGTTACAGTATAAAATACTGGTCGTTGGCCGATATTTTTGTTCTTTTTCGTTCTTCACATAGGTAAATTTAGGTGGAATCTTTTTTTGTTTAGAAAGAAGATAGTTCTTGTGGTGATACGCATTGGAAAGCTGCAAAAGCTGTGTCGAAAGCGAAGAAGAACCAAGATGAAACTGGATTGGTAGTGGCTGGCTGCAGACATTCTGTTTGTCAAGCCGCCTTGAATATGTTTAGAGGAGAAGTTTATGGTTATGCTCACTATCTACATTTAAACTTTGTTCATCCAAACAATGTTAGGTTCTTGTGGGAGATGTGATATGTAAGTACTGGCCATGGGCTAAGCGAGTCACTTCAGAGCAAAACAAGATGGCATTAACTGATACAAAACCAGCCTTGTCACTCATGCATGGAAAATCGCACAGTTGGAACTGTCAGGTATTTTTACTAGGTCTAAATTATTCGTTCTGGTCTTTGTATTGGTTTGAAACGTTTAAAATTTCTCTTTCAATTTGGCAAGAGTTTTTTTGGACAGAACGTCAATATAAATTTTGGGGCATGACATAATGTGTAGCAAATTTTCATTGCATTTAACATAGGTTATTTGGAGTGGAAGATGGCAAGAAGGTGCTGCTGCAACTCCTGGGGAGGAAGTTGAACAAATCAACAGCTATCTCTCCAGACTTGGATCCACCACCAAGAATATGATAGCATCAGGTTAATATAGTATATAATTGTGCATCACTGCATCTTAATGGAGATGAACGGTATAACATTGACATTCCATACATTCCTTTTACAGGTCGCGAGGATTGCATCACTGAGCATCTATTGAGTTGGAATAAGCGAAAAATTTGTAATCTACCTAAGCTGTTGGTTCTTCGCCTGAAAAAGGTTAATTACAGTATATATTTTCGCTTTAAATGCGAGGTGGTGTAAAACGTGCTCGTTGCATACTTGAGCTTATGCGTTGTTCTTTTCAGCATTCGTTTAGTCTTTCTTTCAATGCCTTTCTGTAGACGGAAAAGAAACTCGCCGATGCGAAAACGGAACTTGCTACGTATGCACGTGAGATTAATTTATCAGACGCTGATTTGGATGCCTCAGTTGTGTCATGGAAAAGAGATGTTCAGCAGTTTGCTACTGGTACGACTAATGATTGATCGTGTTAAATTATATACTGTACCGTACGAATTGATAAAATGTATATACTTTATGGATTTCACGTCTTTAGAACAAAAAGCAGGAAAAAATGTTGACGTTGGGGATTTAGGAGAATTCTACCTTTTACATCATGTGGTACAAAATGCTCAACAACTAAATACGTTTGTAAGTAGGAACGATGACCAGACGCGGATTTTAATCGGGGATAAAGAATTTCACCAACTTGCTGCAGATAAAACAAAGCAGTTGAATAAGAACATGGAAAGATTGCGTGTTTTGTCGTCCGAGCTTTTGAATTCCACTGTAACAGAGGAGGAGCTTCTAGCTCGGGGGAAGGTTGAACTTGCGAAAGTAACATTGTCCAGGTTGCAGAGAAAATTGGAGATGCTGTACTTTTCCATTACGAGGCGGATGAAGGAGATTTCGGCGCTTGCTGGTTGGTGTATATATAACAATTTTATTGTTACTTTAATATAATATGTTTATCTCGGTCACTCACATCGTTAGGAGTTAATAACTAGGTCCGCGTACTTTATTTTATTTGGTTAAATAAAGGCTTTCTTTTAGATTCTAGTAAAAGGAGATCATCTATGCGAGCAAAATGCTCAAGGGAAAAAACAGAAATAGCGTCCACAGTAGAAGAGTTAAACTCAGTTAACAGCCTTCTGAAACTGCCTGCAACAAGTGCTGAAGCTATTCTTGCGGGAGATTTTCTTTGGTCGTTTAGTGAGGAACCAGCAACTACGAAAAGTATAGCGAATTTACTAGTGTATCATGGCTACATTTTTATCGAAAGAATAGAATTTTTTCTTAATCTCTATATAAATTGATTTAGACTTTTTGCTATACTATAGGTCTTCCTGTACGCTACAAAGCACAAGTAGTAGAAAAGTTCATGCTGGTTCAAAGGCTAAAAGAAGAAGAGGATCAAATAAGAAAAGAAATGAAGAACTTCCTCGTGTTCTATTTAAAGAATATTTTGGACAACCTTCATCAAAGAAAAGCAGTCATTAATGAGCGGATAGGTATAATTATCAGATATTTTCCGAACTTTTGCAATAGCTGTTATTGTATAAATCTTGACAATAAACTTGCTAGAAATTGCTAGAAATCTATTTTTGATTCCTTCATTGATTTTTTTTCCAATGGTCTTTGCAAAGCACTGTTTTCACCTGAATTTGTATTTTTAGCTTTTATTCACGACGTCAATGAACCTGATGACAAATATCAAAATGAAAATGAGGTATAACAATGTATTAATATGTGTGCACCATAATGGCATGTAGTCTTCTGAGGTTTAGTGTTAGTCTCCAATTTTTTTCGTATTTTACATTTTCTGTTGTTGTAGAACTTATTGGGTGATAGGAAGTGTTATTCCTTGCGTTGCGAAAGAATCGAGACATTGCAGGGTCAACTTGCTATTACTAACAAAGGAATAGCTTTTGCCAAAAGCCAGATTGCAGTTGGTTTGAAATATTTTCGACATCTAGATACTTCTCTGGCATGCCTGGAAGAAATTGATGATAAATGCGATGATGATGATGATGATGAATATTACAATGAAAGTGAAGAAGATTGGTCAAGTGACGACAATAATGAATTAGAATAATTTTAGTTTTAAAGAGTTTTTGAAATTGAAGTTCAGATACCTTATTCATAATATCATATATTATACGAAAAATAAATAGTAATAAAACTCTAAATTTGTACAACATCTATATATGACAATTCCTTTTTCTCTTAGAAGAATTAAAAGCATTTCATTTTTGCTATTTTCTTAGTTGCCAAAGCTCTTGCAGTTATGAACCAAAGCGATGTATAAAAGAACTTGGGGGTGTTCAGATCAGGATCATGATCCCAGATCTTAACAGACCGACAAGAAAAAGTTTCTATATAGACTCCAACCAATAAATGCCAAACTGTGTCTGGTAGAACGAAATGTCAAGCTGTCTGTTTGACTTTCCAGTTGGTTCAATTCCAACTCGCAGTTCTGTAATTAAGCGTCATTTAATATTAGGAATGCAGTATCGTTGTTTTGTGATGATGACTTAAATCAGTAGAACATTTTTTTAAAAAAATTACAGACTTTACGTGCAGTGCAGTCACTTGTAGGAAAGATTTTTTAGGCGTCCATCAATCGATAGTCTCGCAATATACTCCTTCATAAACCTAATACAATATACACTTAATGTATGCTCCGGAGGGAAATAACGAGTTTTGTTTTCCCAAGAGTCTGAATGTCGAGGGAAACATTTAGACTCGAGGGAAAACAAAACTCACTATTTCCCGAGGTGTAGCGAACATTAAGTGTTTTGTTATATAGGAACAAAAACATACATCTTACACGACAATTTCATTTCAAAATGTTATGACAATATGCGGGCACCAATTTTTCACTTGTTTGGGAAACATTACATTTATTTAAAGTCATGTGACTACGAATGAACCAATCACATTTAAAATATACAGCACCTATATAACAATTGTTTTTGTATATATCTGTTATATGTATTGCATTTCGTCCTTCCTCGTGACGAGCGAAAGGAACACATTCTTGCATAAACCTGGCAAAAGTATATAGTTAATGAGCTGTAGTGTACTTCTGAAAGGTTCGCTGAGAAATATCGGATAAACAAGCACATTTGTTTGTAGTATAATTTTCGTATACCGTTATTTTGAAAGTTGCCATGACCTTCAAACGAGTTTACCTACATAATAAATTCAGATTCTGAAAAAGGAAGCAGCAAGATCGTTTCATTAAAATTTTACTAAAATTTAGAAATTAGAAATTTGAAGAAATTCTGCAATAGAAATTAGGCTAAACTTCAAATGCAGAGATTTTAAAAATATTTCATTCTTCATTGATCATACTTATGGCCTAAGGAAATAGAACATGTTTTGCATGAAATAAGAATCATAGAGTCTCTAGAGAAATTTTCTCAAAATAATAAAAAGTTTTCGAGAAAACGTTTCTCAACAAAATTTTCTTGTCAAGTATTCCTTAGGAAACTTTTTCTAGATTTGATTATTAGCCTTCACGATGACGTTTTTGGGGTACTTTCAATTTTCTCAAATGTGTTTAAAAAATAATACCAACATGAAAAGCATTTTTTTTAAAATCAACAGACCATTTGAAGAATAACTCCAGCCTAAAATTAAAGACAGTCGTCGTTACGAAGCCATACACTCACGGTTGCTAAAGAACCCCAAAAATGGCGGCATATTCGTCATCGTGAGAAAGCTAGGCTAATTGCACAGAACAAAATCGATCTTACAGTAACATTACGCTACGTGTATTAAAGATTCTTCGTTGAACTTCTACGTAACTTCAACTAGTGAGCACGTTGTTCGTCTTTCATACTGGTCAAGGCTCTAGGGTTAGGGTTAGGGTATTAGGATTATGGTGACACTAACTATATTTGGTAGGTTAGTTGTTGTAATTTTGATGTTTACTATTATTTACATTGATTCCATTATCTATGTTTCAGTATTGTTAACCTTTTTATTGGATCACGAGAACCACAAAACGTAAACTTGTTCAAAATTGAAGGGTTATTCTTAAATTTCTCCTTTCTAAATACCGATGTAATGTTCAGGTGTAGTGTAAGTGATTTTGTATTGACTGAGTATATATGTTTTATTTAACGGTTTTGGATACTAACTATAAAATTTCGCTTTAATGTTCACTTTGCGATATATAAAGAAAGTACTAAAAACTCAATTACGAAAGCAACACATGATATTTTTTATGGGAAGGAACTTATAGCATTTTGAAGCGGCATGTTTTTAACACCCGAATCACCTCGACTTTTTCAAATTTTTATTTCTTTTGATCCTTTTGGATTGGCTATGGACGTGAGGATCCTTATATATGTATGTCCCATTTGTTTTTAATTTTGGCGATGTGAAATAATGATCTTTCTATATGATAAAAGTAACACGAAAATTTTAAATTAATCATTGCAATCCATAATATAGCTTGATACCGCACGTTTTTGTTGAACACCCGAATCACCTTTTTTTTCGTTAAAAGGTATCGAAACTTTAATCACTAATTATGCACTCACTATGGTATTACCTATATAGTTTGTAATACCAATATTGGCAAGTTAACATAGTTGCCAAGTCTCACGGATTAGGCGTGAGACTCACGTATATTTGTGTAAAAAACGATCTCATGCCGGAAAATCAAGACAGTCTGAGATCTCACAGATTTCGTCTATTGTTGTTAGGGTATTGTCCTTAAAAGTTAAGATATTAATAATAAATTTTAAATCAGTCCGTACACATAGTCAAATTAAAATTAGTCAAAGTTCAAATAAAAAATTTCTTGTTACAAATTGTTTTTTCGAAACAATGTCAAATTTCGGGAAACTTCGGGAAAATTACATTAATTTCATATGTTTGCGGGATATAGGGACTAAATTGTCTTTAGCGAACAAAAGTAAAAAACGAGGTAATCATGGTATTATGTAAGAAAATTTTAGATATTCACGAGAAATTGCTGGCATATTCTTGTAAAACAGTCTTCATTAAACTCCTATGTCTATATGCATGGTTGTAATACCAAAGTAACCAAATTCTTCCTTTTGCTAAAGTAACGAAAAATAATCAAAAATATCCTTTTTCCTCATTCTTTTTAACCTATAACGTTATTTTGGTATTTTTTTTTAATAATAATAATTATTATAATAACAACAATAATAGAATTCAATTATAGAACTGTGAGTTGGAATTGAACCAACTGGAAAGTCACTCATGCAGATAGCTGACATTTCCTTCAACCATGCACAGTTTATTTTAGTTTTATTTTCATTTTGTTTATCGATATAAAAGTTAAGATTATGTATAGAAGCAGTAGCATAGACGATAAATATAAAAAATTGTTGTTTTTGAAATATAAAAAAATTGTTATATTGAAATTGTTGTTTCATAGCTTTTAAAAATTATGTTTTTATGGAGTTTTCGCAAATTATCTGCCGAAACAAAGTTGAACAGGAATTTCAACATCGCTTATTCAGGAACTTATACATTAAACATAAACTATATAAATAAAAACCATGTCATATGGTTTATGTAATAATTTAAAACAGGAGTAGCATTGTTCTATAATATATAGAAGGAAAAAACACAATGTATGAGTCGTGGTTATTTTATACTTTATATGCATTTTAAAACCATTATCACGTTGCATCCTTGGAACGTCTATATATACTTCCAATTCAACTTCCACGTGGTTATAGCTAGTGTTATAAGCGTGCATAGATGAAGGCGTACGTAAGTACTTTTCGCATCTCATATATATTGTCACAACATTCCCCAATTGTATATAAGTTAAGAAATTACACATTTTATAACGTTCTGCTTGTGGGCCACCCCGAAAATTTTTTTCACAGTTGTTTGAGATATATAATAGCTAAGTTTATTAAATTTGGAATACAAAATCAAATAATATAAAGGTTAAGGCTTGGAATGCATTCTCAATAGTGGCCAAGCATGAAATTCGCCAACTTCAACCTTGCTGGTATCAAAAGAACTAGGACACGGAGGGGGATAACCATCCCTTCCACCAAAGATGTTATTACAACTGACAAATGGCCTGGTGGGACTGCAACATTGTGCACCCTCTTAAAACCTGTTACACATGCCTCACCGCAAAATGTGCCTTTATTGTCAGTCAAGGACACAACCGTACCTGAAAAGAAACAAATGATATATATACACCGTTTGCAAAACGTTGGCCGCAGATAGATAGATAGATATAGATACTCGAAGTCTAATTAGAATTGCATATGATTACATTTGCATGGGATTTCAATCATATTACACAACATACGCAATTCTAAGTAGATTTCGAGTATCTATCTATATATCTATCTGCGGCCAACGTTTTTGCAAACGGGTGTATATATATATATATATATATATATATATATATTATATATATATTATATATATATATAAAATAGGTAATATCGTGAACTCTTTTGAGATTATATAACAAGCTAGGTAATAAATTATATAAGCAAGGTTGCAAAACAAAGATTTATATTACCTGCAGAAAATAAACTTTTCAATGTTGTTGAAGACGGTTTCGCTACTAGATTTGGCGGTCTGGTTGTATGAGTTATTGGCCGGGTTGATTGATTTGGTAAGTCAGATGTTTCATCTAATGGTTTTGATGTTTGGTTGGGTGGTCTGGTTGATTGATTTGGTTGTCTGGTTGCCTCATTTGGTGGTCTGGTGGATTTTGTGAGAGACTTTGAAGACAACGGCGAGGAAGGAGTTACAATTGTACGAGAGCTTGATGAGGTTTCGCCAGCCTTGAGATGCAGGTTGTGGATGATGTTCGGAAGACGATGCAATTGACATTGATTCGGTGGGAGTTGTAGGTGGAGACGACGTAGGCATTGGTGGGCTTTTGCCAGTGGATGACGTGCTTCGACTTGTTTGAGGCGTTTCACGGTCAGACGACGACGCCTTCGACACGCTGTCTAGAAAACAGTGATTTCATACCGTGTTTGAACAACTCCCGGGCGCTTTTCCAGTTTTACTTCTCTGATATAAAGTCTGCTGCCAAAACCAGGAGTAGATGCAAAATCCCACATAGTC